TTGTCACTTGAACTATAATAAACAATCCTAGAAGACCTAACCATATAACCTTATTCCACATTTTCCATGAAAGCCTTTATTTTTAATCTGCACTATTTTATAATAGTCATTAAATTAATTGTCCATGACAACTTTACCTCGTATCCAAGAATTTAATTTTTTTCTTTGCTGATCACTTCATTTATCATGATGGCACTGATGACTACATTCACTGCCAATGTGCAGGATCAAAACTAGAAGCTTCCAGTTTTAACCAAACCTGCTCCCATCATACATTCCCTATCGTCATTTGGCTTTGCATGAATTGGCTGAAGGTGAAAGAAAATCAGAGTAGAAGAAAATGCTGATGGCAAGAATTTGTTTAAGGTGAACCTCAACTTGCCAGGAAGTAACCCTCACACTTGATTTCATGACCTTCCTCTGTGGCACATATAGAATACAAATTTTACATTTAATTACAGATTCAATCAACAATGTATTTTCCCTGATTATCTATGACTTCCTTCCATCTATTAACAAGCTTACTAATTCCATTACTGTAAAATTCTTTTGGCTTTGATTTGAAGAACTCACAAATGTCAGTTTTAACCTCTTCCTGTGTTACAAAAGCTGTTTCTTCCAAATGATTCTGTAAGCTACGAAACAAATGGTAGTCTGAAGGAGCAAGATCGGGAGAATAAGATGGATGAGGAATTTTCTCCCAACCAAGTTCTTCGATCTTTTGTGGCGTGATTCTTACTGTGTGGGGTAGCACATTGTCCTGATGAAACATCACCTCTTTTCGATTCACTAGAGCAGGTCTTTTTTTCCTCAAAGCTTGGTTCAAACACTAATTGCTGACAGTATATTTGAGCATTAATTGTTGCATTAGGTGGTAAAAATTCAAAGTGGATTATTCCTTGGTGATCCTACCAGATTGAAAGAAGCTTTTGCTCATGAAGTTCCCTTCTCGGCTGTGGCTGGGGTCCTTCTCCTTTACCAAGCCACTGTCTCGACACTTAACATTTCGATAAAAGATCCATTTTTTTTAAATGCGCCAGTCACAAGTCTATCCAAAAAAGGTGAAACAAGTAGGCGAGAATGGAGAGAAGAGAAGATGTCAACTCGGGATTTGAGGTTGTTTTCAGACAATTCATGAGGCACCCATTTTCCAAGTTTAGGAACTTTTCCAAGTTGTTGAAGATGACAATGAACAGTTGTATGGTTTGAACTGAGAACCACTTCCAATTCCTCAACTGATAAAGCAGGATTTTCTTCAAAGGCTGCTTCAAGAAGCTTTTCATCAAACTCAACTGGACGTCCGGTTCGATCTTCATCTTCAAGTGTGAAATCTCCACCTCTAAATTTTGCAAACCATCTTCTGCAAGTTCTTTCATTCACACATTCCTCTCCATAAACTGAGTGAATGTTTCTAGCCACTTCAGCTGCTGAGTTTCCTTTCTTGAACTCATAAAGCATTATGTGCCTCAAATGATTCTTGGGTACTTCCGTGTTAGCTGGGTTTTAATCAAACAAAATTTAATTTTATTGTTCTCTGTAATAAAATTTGATCAGTTTAAATGCATCTAAACATAAAAATAATGTTCAGCTCCATTAGACATTATAAAATACTCTTTAATTTCGTTCATTTTAACAAAAAGTTAAAATTCGGACAGAACTTATGGGATGACCTGATAATTTTGAATGGCACTTTCTGTAACATGTCTGTCATGCATAGCCCTCTTCATCTGCTGGTTCAACTGTTGAGATCTGTTGTAATCATCAACAGCTTGTTCCACCATTGTGGTCTTTGGGGTTGGTTGTGCTTAGGCTAGGTACTCAAATTATTAATAATTAGCAATGCTTGATTTAATAATTCAAGATAATATTAATACTAATACCATGAATGTATATAAACAAAACATCAAAGATGATAGTGTTAAGGAGTGACAAAAGGAATAAGTCTATATGACAAGATTTGATCTTTTTCAACCACCAGTCTTCATAGATAAAGCAGATACTATTAAACCAGAATATACAAATCATAATGACCATTAATAGTTAAGAAAAAAATCTGAGAAAATAAAAACAACAATCGGCACTATGCTCTACATTTATAGTCTCCAAAAGGTCTTTACTTACAGAAATGAAAATCAAATTACTATATCTTCATTTTGAGAACCAGCTAACTCCACTGCTTTTTTCTTACATTTTCTCATTCAACTTCTCAATATTATTTCATTCAGTTCTTCTATGTTTTGTGCCTGTGCATAGAATTGTCATAGGAGTGATGTACAGAAACAGAGGCCATCTCTGCTTACACTACTCTACTAATGTCACTGGTTCACAATCTATCCTAAGAAATGAAGGAATATGAGTTTTTTTTTTTAATTTTGTAAGTGCAACGAAGATAGTAAAAATTATCAATAATTAAGTTTTTACTATATAAAAATTATCATGGAAAAAATATCTAAGGTATGTATTGCATACATGGACCCTTTGCCACTGATGACATATTGAGACAGACTGAAGAAGAAGAAGAAAAAGAACCTCTCTAAAAAGCTTATTTCTCATCCATGCTATTTTCCTAATGGCCAGAAATTGAAGGATTGTGCAATTGTGAAAGAAAATAAGTGAAATAAAGATGAAAGAAACATCAGTCAAACATGAACAATAATTATTATTAATAAATTTTTGTTTTAACTTGTTAATTTTACATTGACAATGTTATTTTATATGAACAGAATTATATCACAACTACATTAAATACCATATTTATGAAACTAAATTATAACATTTAATTATAAAATTTAGAAAATAACTATATAGTACAGAAATATACTTTTTTTTTTTAAATGCCATGTCCCTTCAGGATGTAGGTGATCATGGCTCTCCACAGATTCCTTTGTCATTACAAGATAGTGGAGTGATTTCATTACCCTTTCCATGGTTTTGAATTCAAAGTTATCTTCTTAAATTGGCTGTCACCTAAGGCTAGAGAATACTGCTATTTAACCCATAGCTGAGGAGAGATCATGATTTTCTTTTAAGTGCATTAATGTGACATGAATGCAACAGACTAGGCCGGAATTGAAATGGTAATATATTATTTCTAAATAAAACCTTTAAGAATGTTCATGCTAAATGTAACTGATAACGAATACAAGAGTATTTTTGTTGAATTCATGATAAAAAAGGTTTTATATTTAAATAAACAAATTTCCTGATAACCAGAATCATTAGCAGAGTTCAAGTTAAAAGAACCTGTACATAATATATACATTGTACATGAAATTATCTCCTATATCTACTGAATATAGTCTGCACTATATGAGAGCATTTAGAGCATGAATAATAAAAGACAAGTCTATTTTTACTCATCTTCATAAGTAAAAAATTTTTAAAAATTAAAAAAATATTTTGCCCTTAAATGAAAAGAGAGCCAACAGTCATATAACTAGATATAAAACAGTCTTCTTTTATGTGCAATGTCTCTTCAGAAAATAGTTGATCATGGTTCTCCACAGCTTTGTAGCTTTGAGCAATGTTTGTCCCCATACTCCACCTTCCAGCACCCACCTTACCATCCATTCACACAAACTCATTATTTAGGTAGCCGAGTTTAGCCCCCTTGTCTTCAATATGTTCTATGAGTGTTAAATTCGCCAAGCCTTCTTTTCTAATTGTGCTTTCACGGAAATTTCAACTGCCTCTTTCGGATTCTAAGTATAAGAATCCTTTCCTTGTCAGTCTTATGTTCTGTCTATGGTATTCACAGAATCCTGTAGAACCACATCAGTGTCACTTAAAATATCCTCTTCATCTGTAAGGGAATTTCTGACATTCACTGCCATATTTTTTTTTTCTTTTTAAATTATTTCAGCCCAAGCATGGCAATAATGCCACTAGGACGCAAGTGATTACTGGAAGTAAAAGAGAGTGAGAAGACATTGGTGAGGAGAAAGGACAAGATTCAGGAAGACAGAAGATAGCCAATTGGTGTTTCATTTAAATTTTATACGAGGATAGTTATTACATAGCAGTTCAGTACACTTTTCTTTGAATTGCTTAGTTCCTGGATGCATTGTTCACTGTTCCAATGCACTTTTGGATTTCTGTGTTAGATTTTTCTTCATCTGTTATGAAACTACCCAGATAATTCCAATTCTGTACCTGCTTTATTTTGAGGTCTCCAATTCATAACACACACCTTGGGCTGTTCCTCTTGCTGACGAACATACAGACTGTCTTCTTACAGCTAAAAGCCCTTTTTTCTTACTCTATATTTTAGCAAAATATAACTTTTTATATAAATTCAGGACATATTCTTCTCATTTATATTTCTAATATATGTTTTTTCACACCATAATTCCATAACATTCAGCTCACATCTATATCACACTGAAAAACTGGTTCCCATATGATCACCAAAGTTAAGCAATGTCAAACTTTGTTAGTACTGGGTGATCGCTTGAAAATACCAAGTGCTGTTAGCTTGAATGTGTGGGTGGTGTAATGGATAACAGCTCAGAATTGAAATTTAGCTCTCCAATTTTCAATTTCAATCATGTTTGTTATATTCCCTTATGCACAAATACCTTCAGGAATGGTATAAATCCAACTATTCTCCCCCAACTATAGGTTAATTAGTAGGACTTGTATAAGAAAATTATTATCTTCAAAAGAATTTTTACAATCTAAAAATATTTTCTTGCTTTAAGTAACCTGCAAGGGGTTGATAAGCCATAAAAACAAATCAATCAATCAATTCATAAAATCCATGTACAACTGTTGAAATGTATTTTCCAATTTTCTGCGCTATCACTGTCTGGATACTGACATGAAGGGTCTGTTTTTTTTTTTGGTTTTTTTTTTAAGAAGAGAAAGAAATGATATTTCGATATTTTTAAAGTCAACCAACATAAGACAAATGACAGAACACCATGTTAATATTATTACTGAAGATAATGTCATATTAAAAACAACAACAACAACAAAAAAGAGAAAGAATTGAACTTCACTTGTTAAGTGGCTTCCAGGTAAACAAGGATGGCTTCCTGAACTACAAGTGGGTGTGAGTGGTGTTCCATCTCGGGTTTTCTGACGAGTCTCTTCTGATAATGTTCTTTGTAACCTGCGATAGCTGTAGTGTAATGCCATAGGCAAGTCATCTCTTGACTTTCTGTGTAAAGTCGAAGGTGACGGTAAAGGAGAAAGTGAGGAAGGAGTTCCATAGTCGGACTGAAATTGAAAAAGAAAAATCATAATTTCAACAATAGTAAAAGAAATTATAAAATTTGTACTTTATAAATTTGTCTATGACAATGGGTAGAGATAATTGCTAAATGAAACGTACACACACACATACATACATGCATACTATATACATACATATGCGCATGTGTGTTATCCTTTGCAAAGTTCATTTAATACAAGGCTCAAAAGCCACTCAAGATATAGGGTTAATGAATGAAGAGTCTGATATGAATGTAAGAGGAGATAGTAGAAAGTAAAGATTATAAGGATAAGGAGGATAGATACTGTGTATATAGATGTGTGTGTGTATATATATATATATATATATATATATATATAAAATGAACATATAGTTTTAAGGTATGCTATATATGATGCGTTCAGCAGAGGGGGAGCATATTTAACATTTGATAATTTTGCAGCAATACACGCTTAAGGGTTTTAGGCAGTTTTGAGCAACATTTCTTTTCATGGTTAGCCATAAGGAATGTAGGACTACTTACACTTAAGTAAAATAATAATAATAATAATATTTATTAAGAATTTATTACAGGAAATATCAAGTTTTACGGACATATTGTTGACAATTATGTATTTAGTTATGTAATAATTTTATAAATAAAAATAATATAAATTTTGATGCTATATTTTCTTTGTTATTGGCAGCATTTTAGAATACTTTGGCTGTAATACTAGGTTTCCTAAGTTGAACAAACAGGAGCTATTTCGTTTATGCTTTGTCACCACTGATGGACAAAAGCGAAATTCTGAAATTTAGAAAGCCTTATTCCATTTAAAAAATAAAGCCTGTAAAAAGGAATATTTTAAATTAATATATGACCAAAACTAAAATGCTTTTCATAAAAAAAACTTTAATGATTTCACTATACTTATGTAACAATAATGTAATGATATTCCACAAATAAATCTATGGTTTATGTTACCTCATCTCATTGCATGGTTATGAACTATAAACCTAAAATGAGCTTGAAATATTGTGTAATTGGCTCTAATTTTTTGTAAAATACTTGGATATGATATAATGAATAATTTGCAGTGAAAAAAGTAATTTTCAATTTTTTGTTGAATACACCCCTCCCCTGCCAAATGCGTCATATATGGGTAAAAGTGGTCAATAGAATGAAAATATAAACAGACTGTTGCCACTCAGTGCTGACCTCAAAGTATTATATATATATATATATATATATAAAATGTGGATAAATCAAATAACTAGATATTATCAAGCGTATATACATGCATTAACATGCATACACAGGTGTGTGTGTGTGTGTGTGTGTATATATATATATAGTACAATTAGGAAGCAAGAAATTATTTCAAACAAATTTTGTTAAACTCAAAAGACAAAATCTGTTTAATTTTTTATTGCGATGTGTAATTTGATTTGGATATACCAAATCAAAATTGTGGATAAACTGCCCAAAGTTTATCAAGAACTGGATATTGCCAGCATGGTATACAAGATTTGTTGGCTATATCCTGATATTTTTCCCAGCACAGTCAAGCGCTGTGAAATCATTCAGCACATGACATCTCTTACATGATACATGTATATTTCAATTAATTTGTGTTCTAGCATTCCACAACCACATAAACAAAAACAGAACAAAATATGAAATTTGGATGGTTTATCTGCAAAAATTGGAAAATCAATGAAAAAGTTAACACGAAGACCTTGTCACTTGAATTTTACAAAACTTGTTTAAAAATATATATTTGTTTGTTTTGTTGGTTAATATTCTTACTTTGGTCTATATAACTGTCGACAGATTTTCAACCATGTGGCATCATATCAATATATAGTGAAAAAAAAAAAATGACATTTACAAATACATAGCAAAATTGTATTCACTCAATTTCTTGGTTGATGGGGCGTACAGTTAAATTTCCAGTATCAAAATTAAACATACATCATCATATTATGTTATATATTTTATGAGTAAGAAAATTTAAATAAAATGAGGAAAACATGTTAATGTGATAATATATTAAGAAACTGATACACTGGAGACTAACACTGTCAAAAGTTGAAGGACATCAAGATGTCTAAAAAAAATTCATAATACTTGTTCTAAATTGTTGATTCGAATTACCTGCACCTTGCTGTGTGTCAGACATTTTTTGTAAGAAAATGATGACTGATTTTAAATCATTGTTATAATTTGTGGAGAAAAATGATGCATTTTAATATTACTCAATGATCTTGCTGATGTGACCTCCATCTTCTGACTTTCTCCTCCTATATTTTGGATAGGAGTCATTCCCTTGTTCAAATTTAAATTTAATTTAAATCAAAGGTAAAAAAATTTTCAGTGGGAGGTTTGTGCAAAAACAGCTTTATTAGATCCCTTTGATATATATTTGATGCAATACTTGATTGAATGAATTGATGAGCAGATTTCAACATTGATATGACAGTTGAATTGTAGTAAATATGTATTGTAAGGCACTACCAACTGATTGGTGATTTCTTGCTCAACTTAACATCCATATTGTTTCATTTAGATCTTGCCAATGTAACTTCTTCATTCTGGCTTTCTCCTATATTTTAGATAGGAGTCATTCCCTTATTCAAATTTAAATTTAATTTATATCAAAGGGGAAAAAAATTGGTGTGCAGGAAGGGGGATTGTGTCCCCCAGGGACCCTCTTTAATCAAAATGAAATATTCTTATCCAAGTACTCTGGGTACTGTAATTTCTGAATATATATGGTTATGAGAGGGAACTATCTCCAAAACCCTAGGGGGAGTTCGATAACAAACAGACAGAGGCTATAACTTTACTTTTTGACCAAAACGAAGCATGATGAGAAAGATTTTAAAAATATGAATTTTTGAATATGCCTGTGTCTTTTCTCAAGATAAGAAATGAAAAATGAAGTGGGACTTTCTTATTATTTTTGTTCATCTGTTTTTTTTTTCTGAATGTGTTATATTACCATCTGATAGCCTTGGGCTAGTTGTTTGCCATAATTAGGGTTGTAAAGGGTTTGTAGGAGGCTTTCTGTGGAAACTGTCTTCTTTGAGTATGCCTAAACTGTTTAATCCTAAAATGTGTGAATCTATTTTAAAAATAGCTTAATTCCTCCAATTAGCAGGGCAACTACAGATAGATATTAATAGCATATGAAAATAACTGATCTAAAAAAAAAAAGAAAAAATTGAATGATGAAAATGATGTGTTTAAAACATGATCTCAAAAAATAGGAATTTTAGCGAAACGTAAAGCAGAGGTATCAGATGTGGGAGGGGACAAAATGCTCATTTAGAACAGTTTCCAAAATACAACAAACATTTGAGAAAGATGAAAGAGGGAAAAGAGCAGAAATTGCTGTGATAAAAAAAAAAAACAAGGAAATTAATGCAAACAAACCAACAGTCAATGTTGCTAGCATCTCGGCTAAAAAAATTTTAAACAAATATGTACAATATATTTTTTTATGACTAAACATTATGTTTAGTGAGTACACATCACCATGTTTTTTAAGCAGTGAAATTAATGCCTACCATCCTAAACACTGAAAATCTTACTATAAAATATATGGCTCCCTATTCTTTAATAAAGCTGGTAGACATTGATTTCATTGTTTAAAAAAACAAACCATGAAGATGGCTACTTAAACACTTATAACATTTATAGTAATAAGAAATAATGTCAGATTAAAAGACCCATTAATTGCTTAAAAAAATTACAGCAATATCTGTATACTTTTCACTTATAGTTGATAAAACTTCAATCCTTCAAATTACTTACCGTGACCTTCCTTCCATTTGACCTGCAATATGCCTATTATTTATAGTAGCGTTTCTCAGCCGGTACACTAATGCACCCTGAAAGGCAGCCAAGTTAACAGAATTGTAATTTATGAATTATTTTCATAATTTAAAAAAAAAAAATCTTTATTTTTAAAAACACTAAGGACATGTCTATGTCAATCGACGTTTCAACTGATAACATTGGATTATCATTAATAGAAAAAGAAGCTGGTCACTATATCTGCTGATTGTGGCTTACAAATCAAGCATAAAGAAGTGCCCATTGATCAATTTTAGATTTCCATTCAAGAAGAATATTCTTCAATAGCAAGTAAAGCATTGAATATTTTATTGCAATTTTCCACATCATATCTCTGTGGATTAGAATTTTCTGCATTTACCAACATTAAATGCAAAAATAAATCAAATATTAAATGAATTGATGAGGAAATGAAAGTATATTTATCATATATAAGGCCTATCATTCAAAAAATGTCCAAAGCACATCAACCACAGGTTTTGCACAAACACGCTTAAATATACGATGTCTTAAAAATAAATGCTTATGTCAGGAGACTTCTTATTTTCTTATTTCTACAATTCATAACTAATTTTTCTTTATTAAAATTTAAAGTGCACCCCAAAGTTTTAGTTGATCTACTAGTGCGCCATGAATTAAAAAAAAAAAAAAAAACATTGAGAAACACTGGTCTATAGCCTGGCAGGTTTGGAATTTGAGAAAAGAATTTACTAAAGAGAGAACATATGGACTGAAAGCAGTTAGCATCAAAGAACTGTTGGTTTTATGAATCTGCTAATGGCCCATCTGATGTACTTTATTTCATTTTACTATACAAAATATAACTATAGCTAGTGGAATTCTCCTATTTGTATGTGGCAATAGTTTTAAGTTAAACTCTCATCAGGTAAATTTACAAAGCACACAAAATATAACTTTATTATATGTATATAGTAACAATAGCAAAAAGTTCATCAAAAATACATGGTTAGAAAAAAAAACAACCAATGACGCAGATAACAAACAAAACTGTAATCCCAACTGAACAGAAATAAATGAGAACTGCTAATATATACAGTCATGCTATTCTAAATAAAACCTCAAAACCCAATATTGCTATATTCTACTGAACAGGAGAAACTGCTCATTGATACAGTCAATAAATAGGTGCTCTAGAAATATCAG